GAGAAGACTTTTCAAAGTTCCTCAGGGACATCAAGATTGATCCCATCAAAAAATACATAAAGGATAGAACCTTGAAATTATTTGCGAAAACTGACAGACTTACCAACACCGCGTTATCAAATCTTAAAATCGTTACAGGCTCCTCGGGAAGGTAAGCAGATCTGAGATCATTTATTGCTTAGTCTGACGAAGTGATAAACAATAATTTAGTCAAGTCGTAAAAAGGGGTTTTGAAAATACTTCAAGTTAAGAAAGAGTAAAAGTGCTTAAGTCCATTGGTTCAAAACAGCTTCAACATAATAATAAAAATATCAACAGACCTGCAGAAAAAAATTTTGATGACATTTTGGCTGACTTCATTTTATGTTTTTACCATATCACATAATTATAAAAATTTAACAAGAACATGAAATTATCAATTAAATAATATAATTTCGAATAAGTCTCTAATTATGCTAATAACAGCCAAAAACGGACAAAAAAAGGCTAACTTATAGTGGCTTGTAGGTTGGATAGATTTTCGTATCGGGGAAAATAAAAATTGTGGATTGCAATGAAAACCATATTTCAAATTAGTTTATATAAAGTCTTAGTAACATTTTTGGCAACTTTAAAGCCGATAGATAAATTAGCCAGAAGTGGCATACGGCATACAATTCCATCTATCATATCAGATGTACGAATAGGTTTAATTCACTGCATAGATCCGGATGCAATGCAAATCATATTTTAAATCAGTGTATATAGTCTGAGTAACATTTCTAGAAGCTTTGTGCTAGAAGTAACACACGACATCCCATTGTATCTGTCAATCAGATGTACGAATAGGTTGACTTCATTGCATAGATCCGAATACAATGAAAATCATATTTCAGATCAGTTTATATATAGAGTGTTAGAAACATTTCTGATAGCTTTGTTCTAGGAGTGACACACGATATACTATTTCATCTATCAAATCAGATGTACGAAAAGGTTTACTTCAGTCAAACTAGCAATACGCACACAACATGTTAAAATGGTGATTTAAGGATTGTGTAATAAGTGGACTTATTTGATATACGTATGACATGATTCACCTATGGTTACTCGATTATTCTTCATCGCTATTCAATGTCTGACACAATCGCCATAGCAACGCCCAAAGGATAATGTTTGAGTAGCAGACATGTCGGTGATAGTCTTCTCAAACGATTACAGTTATAGTTGAAAAAATAAGAATTTAAGGTAATGATTAAGCAATTATAGTATTAGTGGGGTTCTTACACTCAGCAAAATAATTTGGTTGATTTAATCAGGTTTTAACTAAATCTTAGGTCAAAATATTCTCAGCTAAGGTATCGTGTTAGTTCAACCATACCACATGTTGGTTTTCATATCTTCTTTATCACAAGAGCTATGATTTCAGTCAGTTGGTTAGTTGGATAAGATGCTGACTTTGAGCTTCAAATTTTGAAGAACACGAGTTCGATTCCTGGTACTTGCAGTGTCAAAAAATTATTTACAAGTAATTAAATACAAGAAATATTTCCAAAACCACTGATAAAGGGTATTTGGCAATACTCGAAACAGCTGTAGAGTCAGCCAAAAATTCAATTAATTAAAATAATATAAAATGAATTTTTGTTGTTGTAGTTCACTACTGTTCGAAAAACCTTTTCTAAAATTTTTCTAATAAAATGAAATTTAATTAGTATGTGGTTAGTGCATATTTTTCGGAGTACAACTGTCTCATCTTCTGCATTAGTAAACTCATTTCCCATCATACCGTCTACACATCTTTGTCCTTAATAATTGAAATAGGGTCCCACGCACTCTGATCTTTATGACGCAATGAGTGGAATCTTCATTGTGCATTGTTAGGAGCAGGTTTTAGTATGTTAAACTTTTGAAAAGTGGCTTTTGGTGATTTCCACCTACCGGAAAAAAATAGTCTCTACTATTTTCTACATTGCGATTCCAACAACCTGGTTAACATAATACATTTTTGTTACTATATGTTTGCGTACTCTAAAAATCATGGTGATAGAGAAATCATGAGATCAACAATAAAGTTTAATTGTTAAAAAAAATTGTAATTAAGGAAAATTACTTTCGTAGACTATCTCTCTCCATCCATAGCCAATTAATTTATTTGACTTTCCGATTGTTTGATTGATTCGCTTGATTGATTTCTATTTTCTAATTTAAAATAAAAGGGCAACATTTTTGCTTTTAACAATTTAAATTCATTGGACGAGTTTCATTTAAATTAAAATCTAGATTAATGATAATATATATACATATATATTTTTATACCATGAGTGAATACAATATTTTTATAATCTAGTGGACAATAGAAAACTAAAATAAAAGAGAAATTTCATAGTAACGAAATTTGAAAAAAAAAAAATTAAATAGAAAAAAAGTGTTGTTGCTAAAGTAACCCAATAAATAGTAACAGAAAACTACTTCACCATAAGCTTAACCGCCGCCATAATTAATGAATGTACGGATAATGTGCTATTAACACAAAAAATCAAACCCATAATAATAATTCGTATTACTAACATAAAATAATAATTATAACAGCAACACCGGCAGCAACCAAAACAACAACAATAACAATAATAACAACAACAACGTCATTAACACTGGACGCCACAATAACGTCTTATAAATATTATTAACACGTTATTCGATACTCGTATTTGGCTTTAATGCTCAATGGCAAATTTAGGCGAATAATTACTGAAGCGGGCAACACTAAATAAAAAAATAAACACAATTAAAATGAAAAAATGTAAAAAGTAATAAATAAAAGTTAAAGTAAACGAAAGAAATTAACAAAGAAAATATAAGAAATAAATAAATAATTTTATCCGCAACAGACGTTGGACTTCCAATTTTTATTTTCGCTTATAGAAAATTGAATTGAGTTTGAAGAGTTCGGTCCGTTCAATCAAAAATTAACAGTTCTACTCTTCTTCTTCTTCTTCTGTTTTTATTATATTGAATTTTTCTAGTAATTATTTTTGCGTTCAAGAAATTCTCGGTACTTTGCTTCATTTTGCGCTTTTAATAGCTGTGAACACATTTATTGGTTTCTGCTATTCGCAATAATGTGGCAACATTGAGTAGTTGCAAATGCCTTTATGACGGTCATTAACAGTAAGTAACGCTGCACTGAGCACCAATAGTCATAAATTGGCGCCAAAATAATAATTCGAATCGCATTTATTGCCAGAGTAATGAGGCAGACATGTGAGGATAATGGCATTGTATTTTTATATTAAATATGGGAGAGACACATATGTGTGATATTATTGTTATGCTCTTGTATTACAGTTGTAATAAGTTTTCTTTGTCCACTTTCGATTTCTGTTGCAAGTTCTTTGCACTATGAAAAGGAAACCAGAATGTGCATGAGTAATATAATTGTACTATATTAAACTATTTTATAAAAAAATAGCACTTTTTTCTCTAACACAGAGGATTAGAACACGAAGTCCTATTAAACTACATCATATAGTAAGTAATCATCGATCAATTGCGTGCAGTGTATCATAGTCACGACTACTTATATTATCGGCATTGTTTCCTCCTGACTTTTTTATTACGTGATTATTGTGTGATCAAACTTAGACTCTATTTGATTAAAGATCAAGGAACTTTTTTTTGTATTTAAAAGTTTCCTTACTTTTACCACCTTTCGAAATGGATTAGGATATAGCATCAATCTATCAGCAAAATATTAGCACTATTACTTCCTTTTCAAATAAATTTCTTGTTAAGTTACAAAAATAATGCGTAGAGATCTTACCATTGAAACAATTACCAAGTAACGAAAGGATATAGTGTCTGAATCTATTAAGTTCCGCTTAGGATTTATAACTCAAATTTATAACCCGATATTCATTCTGTCGTGCTTTAAAGAAAGAGGGGTGTCACAATTAAAGTGATGTTAAGGACGTGTGCAAGTTAGGTTAAGTTGATGCTAAACCAAATGAACGATTTTTTGCATTGCACATTTAGCCTTTTATCAGCACATATCGACATATCACTACATTATCGGCACAACTTAGAATTTCCATCATTTAAAACGCAATTTAGCCTAACTCGCACACATCCTAAATAGATAGACAGATTTTTTTAGTTTGATCAAAAGAGGTGTACCTAAAGGAAGATGTGAATGATCTAGCTGTTACCAACTCCATAGAAATATAATAAACACAATAATTAACACATAAAAATTATGTAAAAATTATAAGCTTTTTTTTGACACTAGATATAGATTACGTCACTAGAGGGTATTTACGTGTCCTATTTCGATTTCTGTATTTAATAGTCCTAGTGAGCATACAATTATACGAATATTTAAACAATTATACCTAACTTTCCAATCATATATTGTAATAAAATTGCTCTAACAATAAAATATGACTTATCAAGTACTAACAGATGAATGCGAGATATGGGATGGTTTATGTCAATTCAAGTATTTAAGTATATAAGATAGAAGTACTTTGGAAACAATGTTACGCTATGGTACTCTGGGATGGGTCTTATCGAATCCAGTGAAATTATGAACCCGACCACACAATACATGAGGTGACTGCAGTAACTAATAATAAATATTAGTATGCACTGTAAGCATATATAAGGGCAACGATTATTGGATATTGGACCGAGGCAATCTTGACAAAATGGTTGTGGTGATTGAAAAGCCGTCATATCAGATTTGGGAAAATAAAATACATTTTTAATAGAATCACTGTTCTACTAAGAACTCTAATCCTAACAAAGAAGAAGAATATTCATATACAAATATTCTAACATAGAATACAAACATTTTAATATTCGTAAATGAAATAAAGTTACTACAAAACTCAAAATTACAAACCAAGCTAGACATCAATCATTATAAACAAGTCTCCAGAATTTAAATATTTATATAAATAATATTTATATAGTATAAAGTACACTAAAGATGTTTTAATTAATTTAAGTATCAATTAATTTTAGATTAAGAAAGCCATTAATATGTTATTACCTTCATTTAAAGAAGTATCGTTGACAGAATTGTCAAAATGTATGCGAGGCAGTGTTTTCGACTTGTACTCACCTAGAAAGATAAAAAAAAAATTATACAATTAATTATTAGTTATAATGTGAAATCTAATAGTTTATAAATATATTATATTAAATATATATAAAAACAATTTTTGTAATAAAAATTGTATTATAACATATAACAATATCAGATAAATAACGATATTAAAATAATAATAATTATATATATTTAATAATAATAAATTAAAAATATTGTAAATTGATTTTAATATTGTAAATAGTTTTTAATTATTCTAGACACATTAATTAAAAACTTAATATATTAATACTGTATAACATAAGATGCATTTTTAAAATATTATATAGTTAATTGCAGAATATGTACAATAATATAATATTATATAGTTTATAGTAAATATTATGTATAGTAATATTTATATTATATTTATATTATATAGCATATTAACATATATAATATACAATATTATTATGTTTCCCAGTGCTATTATTAAACAGCACCCTAATAAGATTCTAGATACCATAAAAATATTTTGTTTATATAATTATCATAAAATAAGGAATTTTTTAATATATTTTAAAATGAAATTGAAAATGCACGCGAAAGAACAATTAAAAATTTTGTTATTTAAATTTTTTCTCATTAAAAAAATTCCAACTAAACATTCCAAACTTTCTTCATAAAAACAGAATATTTAAAAAAAAATTAATTTAAAATTATTACGGAATTTTTATTCAGCTAAATAATATTCTTGATTATTCAGTTTTCTTCTAAAACATGTCTGTCTCTAAATCGGTAGTAATAGTGACAACTAAGACAAGAGTACGATGCTTTGTAAACAGGATTCAGTGAATTATTCTACAAATATGGTTTTAGTTCCTTAAAGAATTCAAGACTTATTAAGTGTAAGCAACCAGCAGACCCTCAGTATAGATGTTAATGAACAGAAGTATAGTTGGATTAACATAAGAAAAAAAATTAAACATTTGATTTGGAAAAAGGGACTTCCCCTAAGTATGAATTCCCTGAAATTGATTCCCTAAAATCGATTCATATCTAAAACAAAACTTTTAGAATGCATTTGTCAACATTCCTATTGGCACGTGACAATATTTTTATTTGAATTATAGAGAAATACGAGTTATACAAGTTCGAATTATTGAAGCAAATTTGTATGTAACATAATTTGCTCTCTAAAACCCTGTTGCACTTGTTTTAGTTTGGGTTGTAGAAAATTCGAGTTATAGAATTGCGAGTTATGGTAGTTTGACTGTATTTTATTAATATATATATATAATATGCAGATGTCTGAGTTGGTTATTCATCACCTTAACTCTATTATATATGTGAACAGTTTTAAGTTACACTAAGAATATCTGAACACGGGGCTTTATAATATAATGGATCTAATATCTTTGTATCTGTCTGTGTTTATCAGACTTCGCTGTATTTTTAGGTTGCTGAGTGTTGTATTTATAAATATTTTCATGAATAAAAAATAAATAAACAATAGTTTATATTAAAAATTTAATTTCATTCGAAAATTCTATTTAATATAAATATTTTTATAAATTTTTTGAAGCTTCTTTTAGCAACAGAAAACTTTACGCTCTTTGGTACTTATCTACCAAATAACTTATATATACCATATATAAAACTCGAAGATTTTAGGAAATTTAGATGAAATTGTTTTTTTTTTCTAAGAATTTCAATTAACTTGTGAACTTAATAATGCTACAAAAAACCAAGTTAAATATAAAATAATTGTATCTAATTATCTGGAGCAATCGGCAATTTTTATTAATTTGTTTATGTGCACTGCAGAGTTTGTTATTCCATCCAAGTTCTACACTAAGCAAGATAAATAAAGAATTTAATGAAATTTAATTGTAAAATTTGTTGCTATTACAAATTTAAAAAGAATTTCATTCATTTAGTAGACCTTCGGTTAGGAAGTTGAGGGTCTTGCATTGATGCGTTAGCTACGCTAGCCATTGTGGGAACAACAGATATGAGAAAATAAACTAAATAACAATAAAACTAAGAAAAGGAATTGTTTACACTTTTATGGCTTTTTTCTTTTCTTTCTTTTATATATTTTTTTTATACATTTTTTTATTCGCATTTCTTTTAACTTTTGAGTATAGTTACAAATAAATGATTTTTTTTAAATACTAGAATTAAAAAATTTATTCTTTTTTATTTTTTTTTAATTTACTCATTCGTTCTGAAAAAAGAATTTAAATTAAATTAAATTAAATAGACGAAACCATTGCCAGCTTTTGTTTTGATTCAAGACGCATAGGCATTTACGGATGCACACATACGAGTATTAAACATCAGCACAGCTCCCACTGTATTCTCATATGCCCAATATCGAACACACACACGCACACATGCATGCAACCCATGCAAGCCACAGTGGAGCATAATTGCGAACTTGCTTTGGGGCCATTTTGTTTATTTGCAGTGCAACCAACATGTGCGCTTTGTTTATCTGAAAAATTTAATGCACGAATTTGTTGGATGTGCACTGAGGTCTGTGGTGCGCCTATGGAGATACTTTTATGTGCGCCTTTGTCAGTTTATCTTGCAATTTGATATTTTAAACTAAATAAAATTTTTATTGGCCTAGTGACCGTAACATGTGCTAACAATTGAAATTATTGCCACCCTTTGGCATTTTCCTCTTCTTCATTTCTTGGGTCTTTTCATTTTATTTTTACAATTTTTATTTTTTATTTCTTGTTAATTTAATTTTTTTTTGTTTTTGTTTTGGTGTATATAGAAATTAAACTTTAAAGTACTCAAATCGAGCAGAAGCATTAACATCAGATACATTATATTATAAACAAGCTTTTCGTCGGATGGGCAGAGATACTCGGAACAACCAAAGACCAAAGTTTTTAGCATTTCAATGCAATTAATTTAGCGTTTGTTAGTTTTTTTTTTCTTCTCCTCTCTTCACTTTAATTCATTTATGTAATCATTTTGTGTGAAATTCAATTTAAAAGAATGTAAATGTCAGATGAAAACGAAGAAAAATTGTAATTTCATATCGCCAACAACGACCGACCTATTTGGAGTATCTGGTTATGCAATTTGAAAGTTTTTCTTTATAATTTATTTCATAACAGTTTCTTAGTTAACTGAAAATGCACTTAATTAAAACTATAATAACAATAATTTATTGAACATAAAGGAATTAATTTGGGTCAAGAACTGCATTGCATATGAGAAATATTTTATTTCATATAATATATCATATTAAATTAAGAAAGACTAACTTCTTTATTATTATCGTTATGAGTTAATTTAGAACAGTTCGTTTATAAAAGAAAAATATGTTCTCGTTTTATGTTAATGAGTTTAAGTTCTAAGGCCGTGCAAAAATGTTAAATTGAGGTAAAGTAAATTGAAATTTCCTAGAGATTTTTTGCACTGCACTTATATAAATATTTATTTATTTATTTATTGCAATTATTTATTATTTTTGGTTAAACGTTTTTAAATTTATTTATTAATTATCTTATAAAATGTTCACAATGGTAATACCTAATTTACCTAATTTTTAACTAATTTACCCTACTCGAAATTCTGGTAAATATCAACATTCGCTGCCATACCGACATAATTTACTAATTCCCCCAATTTATCATCAATTTACTCGAACTCGCACACTGCTTAAAGTTAGAAATTTGAGTTCAGCAACTGGAATATATTAGCTTTAACGGGTTAATGTTGCGAACAGTCTAATACTTCGATAATAAAAATATTTTTAAGATGAGCTCGGTGTAGAGAAAGATGCAAGTAGCTTGGAGCATATTTATATTTATTTAATATTTATTTAAAATTAAAATAATAATTAAAATCAAAAAAAAAAAGCACGACAAATGCTGACAAATGACAAAAAACCTGGAACTTGAGCATTGACAGTTTGTGCAACCTTGGCTACTTATGGAAAAACACGATTAATCACTGCATCTAATTTGACAGGCAAGACATCTAAGCTTGGTACTTGCAGTCCAAAGAAATTATATACGGATTATAAACTAATTAAAAATTCGAATATTTCCTAACACCACTGATGATTTGTACTTGTCAATACTCGAAACAGCGTTGTATGGGCAGCCAAATTATAAATTAAATAAATTTTTGTTCTTGTATTTTCTTAGCTATTCGAATCCGTCTAACTTTTTAGTAGATATTCCAAACCAAAACTGGAATATCATGTTACAAGAAATAATTGGTAAGCCTATATACCCTATGTATAGGCTCTTATAGGAGTATAGATTAAATAATTTATGATGGACCTTAATTGATTAGAACTTCAGATACAAAATATAGAAAGAGAAGATGATCTCAAAAACGCAGATGAGCTGTACATCTCCTTAAAATTAAGAACTTTTGAGGGTAATTCGTGGTTAGAATATAAGGTTATAGAAATGGTCAAATAAACGAATAAAAACTTAACTACAAATATAGATTATATCATATAAAGCAATCGCTACAAGAATCATCCAATGATTTGTATTGTCACCACTTGCATAGTCGTACTAGACTTGTCGGGTTTTTTGTTTTTACTTTCTGACGTAGAAATAATATACTTAATATATTCTCTTAATATTATATATAAGTACAATATGCGGTATTTATTTTATTATTTTAAAAATAATTACTTTTTTATGTGTTAATTCAATGTAAGAAACCTCGGTAGCCTCATTAAATTCTGTATTTGCTTGTGTGGTATTACTCATTTTTAAATAAAAAGTACTTATATGCATGAATTTCATTTACTCTTATATGAGTACATATATTTTAATTTAAAAATTTTATTTGAAGAATGAAAATTAAATGCAAATAATATACATTTGAAAGCTTTATAAAAGAATTGCGGTCATATGTGCGAATGGCAAAAATTTGCTGTGAATTAGCTACACTCAAAAAAAATAGTGATAAGAAGTATTTATACTATAAGTAATATTTAAAAAATACAAATAAATAAATTAATTATTTATATAGTTTAAAAAAAA